CGCACACACACACGCACACACACACGCACACACACACGCACACACACACGCACACACACCACACACACACACACACACACACACACACACACACACACACACACACACACACACACACACACACACACACACACACACTGTGCCATTGCATTTCATTTCATTATTTCGTCTTCGTCACATTACGTTAATGACACAATATAAAACTAAACAATGCAACAGCTCAGTTTGGAAAACAAGACAACACAAAAAAACAATAAGACTTGAGATTAATAAAAATGAAATGGAATAAAAAATAAATGGAATGATGACATTGCCTTTTTTAGCAATTTAAGCTATATCACAAAATAACTATGCACTGTATTTCTGAAATGACTGAAGTAAGTCCACAGAACACCAAAATGCAATATTGTCAATCGGATCTTAAGAAAAACAAACCAAACATTCTCTGATTACAGCTACAAAATGCTGGTACTAGGAAAGGCTGCTTCTCTATTTACAGTGAATACTTTTGGTGTAGAAATGTTAATGTGACATTTTAGAAATAGCTGCCATTATTTTTGACATTTTACATCCGTGGTTTATTTAAAAGCTGTGGAAATATCACTTGATTTGTGAAATAAGTGTTTCTTGCTTTCCAAATACCAAGGGTTTGTAACGACTGTACCTGTTACTCTGCGATTCTTGATATTTGTTTCTACCTCCAGATCAAGACTGGAGCTCCCTGTCGATCAGAACGTCTGGCCAAATACAATCAGCTCATGAGGTGAATATTCAATTATTAACTTCATGCCACTTTAATATCTCTCTTCTTCTTCCTTTTCACGTTGTCTCTACCTATTCTTCTCCTTCATATTCATCTGCCTTCTCTTAATTTCTCTCCTTTTTCCTCCTCTTTCTTCCTCCTCTCAGGATTGAGGAACAGTTGGGTGACCAGGCTCGCTTTGCTGGGCACAACTTTCGCAACCCCACTGCCCTTTGAGTGCCATTAGCGTTAGCACACAAGCTAATTAGCACGCTCAGCATATCAATCACACTTTATTTCCCTGACGGGCACATAGTAATGAAATGATCACACTTGTTTCCGCAGAGCTTTAACCTCACTAAGACACGATTAAAAGCATTAGGACTAATCATTTTCAAATAACTGAAATGCATTGTAGCTACAGTATATTGACCATACGCTTCAGCAAGTGATTGACTTTAATTGACTGCAGCCAGTTGCAGCGAATCCTGAACAAAGAATAGAGGAGAGAAATCAGTGTTTCACCTCCTGGCAGCGAGCACTTTCCCTGATGCACTCGTTAGTTTCTTTCTCTCTGTCTCCTTTTCACTCACGTCACTGCAGATGTGTTTTGATCTTTTGTCCCCTGATGTTTCCTCTCCCTGTTCCTCATGTCGTTTCTAATGTGAACCTTCAGCAGCTTGCTACACAATTGTATCTCACTTTGTCTGGTTGTACCCAATAAAGAAATGGAAACATATTAATTTGAACCAAAGATGTGCGATTGTTTATTAAAGTGGAGGCTCTGCTGTGTCATTTGTTCTTCTTACTTAAAGGGGCCCTATTATGCTAATTCTAAGGGTTCATATTTGTATTTAGTGTATCTGTGACATGTTTCCATGATTTAAAGGTAGGGTAGGTAAGAATGGAGAAACCAGCTCGAGTGCGCTAGAATTTGAAAGTACGCAGCCGGAAAAAATCTGCCCACCAACACACACGAACGCGCACATGACCAATGAGGGCACGAGATAAGTTTGTGCACAGATGGAAGGCTGACAGGCAGGTGGCCATCCCAGTTATACTTTAGCCGGGGCGGCGGCTCAGATGATTGGTCCGTGCTTTGTTACAGTACTACGGCTTTCCACAGGATGACATTTGTTTAATGTGGAGTTTATTGTCAGAAGGCGATGGCACTTCACGAGGTATTTGTCATTGCTGATCGGGAATGAGTAAATAAAGAGCAGTTCCATGGAATATAACCAAGATGTGGTATCTGGAAGGTTGAATTACCTACCCCACCTTTTAGGTCAAAAAGCTCTGTATTGTCCGTCATACTGCGCTGTGCTGCAGCACCTCTTTTCACCCTCTGGTCTGAAACCAGAGCCGCAGTCTGCTCTGATTGGTTAACTGGCAGGCTCTGTTGCGGTTGGTCAAACGCTAGGAGATGTCCCGTCCCTTGGCCTATCACGTACAATGTTGGTTGAAGCGCGGGTAGCCTCCAGAGAGAGT